TGTGTCCCATCCGTATTTAGAGGTTCATATGACTAGGCTACATATTTCCAGTCTTCAACTGTCCAGTTTTGGTGATCCTACACCCAGCAGCAGCCCCAGTTTTCTGTTCTTGGTGAATAAAAGTCCAAGGGTACTCCATGTGCAGCTTTTGGGCCAATGAATGCAAATTTTCTTCAATATTTTATGATAACATGTTGCATTCAGATTGCCATACATTTTTATATAAGTTCCTTGAGGCGCTGTAACTTACAAATCTCCAATACAACAGAGATCCACCACCATGCTTCACAATGTCCAGTTTTGGTGCTCCTGTGCCCAACTGCAGCCTCCATTTTTTGTTGTTGGCAGTCACCTCTTGATGTGGTCTTCTGCTGTTCTAGTCATCTGTCTTAAGGTTTTCCATGTTGTGCATTTTTTTTCTGCAAATCACAGTTGAAAAGAGCGGTTATCCGAGCTGCTGTAGCCTTTCTGTCAGCTCCAACCAGTGTGGCTATTTTCTTCTGACCTTTCTCATAAACAAGGTGTTTCCATCTACAGAAATGCCACCCACTTGATATTTGTTTGACACACCATTCAGAGAAAATGTCCCCTAATGATCCAATCCCGTACTGGGGAGTGGGCCCAGTACGGGATGGTTGGCTGTACTCCTCCTATCAATGCCCCGGGCACTTCAGAACCCTTCTTCTGCTGCAGTCACTGAAGGGTCAATTGACCTAGTGTTTTGGATCCTTGTCATGTTGGGAAATGCAAGTGTGTCCTGTAATGGTAATGCATACTAAGCCCTCACAAAGCTGTGTGAAAGGGCAAGGACCCCATGTTGTTCAGACTTCATCCAAGAAAGTTTGTCACACAAGCTGGTGAATAGCAACAGTGGTTCCCTTCTCTTCATCCCTCCAGGAAGCATTCTGGTGCAATACAAAACTGTTAACTGATGCCAGAGCCATCTTATCAGACACGGACAAATACAGGCCATCTCCTGCCTATTAGCCCAATCCACCATTCCAGTCTGGAAGTCCTAATAAAACTGTTGCAAGCTTGAGCAATCCGGAGAACTAACAGACACTGGACCATAAATACCTTAGTGGAAGTCAGCGGAATACACATTTCTGATGGACTGCTTATCAGCTGAGACTCTAAAACCTCAGCACGTTTCACAACTTCTGAAATTATGACAGTATAGCCAGAATAAAGTCATAGTCATCTTCATCAGTTATTGGGTAGCATTTTGAACCTAAACATCCCTATGCTAGGAGGTATTAGAGTGGAGTAGGCCTCCACAACCCCTCCTATGAGAAACAGATCTCTGAGACCTGTCATATCTATATCCATTTTGAAGCTAATTTCATGCTGGACAATAATCTGCATGGTAGCGGACTGTAAAGGGTAGTGTTCAGAAATATACTTATAATAAACTGTATTTGGGACTTGGTCACAAACGTAGTGACCTCCCAGCCCCCACCCCTTAAAACCGGACGATTGGTCAGATGGTCTCTGTCAACATCCCCCTTGATATCAGATAAAAAAAAGAGATTGCGAGCAGATTTGACAGCTCTTGTTTTAACATCAACCAAGGAACACCGAACCGGACTTGAGAGAGCCACCGTATTATTTTTGCTTGATCAACTGGACTCTGCTAAAACCAAGGACTTTGCAACTATTCTTCATTTTCAACTCCTTTTTAATTCTCTGTTGCTTTATTGTCTCTTTATGTCCTTGTAACACCCTTTTTCTGTAAATATTTTATTTGCACCTTTTCATTATTAATCCCTACTTTGAAAAGTGTTAAAATGGTCTCTAAAGCTTTTAATGCAAACTAAAGGATCCCTTGAAGACTGCTACTGTATATGTCAAATCTCTGAATATACCTGTCTGTGGTGACAGTGTGTGTACAGATGTTTATTTTTCATATTTGTTCTTGCTATGATCGTGAGTTTCCGCCTTTCTCAGTCAAAAGGTGGTGGTAGATTAACCAGTTCCTGACCGTGCTATAGCCAAAAGATGGCTACAGTGCGGTCAGCCAATTCTGGAGGGCGTCCATGGACGTCCTCCTAGAATCCCCCCCCGCATGCCTCCTGGGATGCGCACTGCACGTCATCTGTGATCGGACACAGCTGATCACATAACTAAGGAACAGGCCAATCACAGCTGCTTTTACTATGTGACCAGCTGTGTCCAATCACAACTGATCAAAGGGTATATAGAAAATGCTGTTTATCGGCAGTCCTCGCCTCATGCTGACAGTGTGTGAAGAGAGCCGGTAAGCTGCATTTCACAGGGGGATATCTACACTGATCATCAGGGCACTGATCATTAGTATGCTGGTGATCAGTGTGGCCCTATCAGTGCGGCCAATAGTGCCCATCAGTGCTCATGTGTGCTTGCAATAAAACCCATCAGTTGAATCAGTGACCAGTTACCATCAGTGCCACTTAACAGTGCCTATCAGTGCCACCTATCAATGCCCATCACTGCCATCTAACAGTGCCCATCAGTGCCACCCATCAGTGCCGCCTACAAGTGCCCATCAGTGCCACCTAGCAGTACAGCCTCATCAGTGCTGTCTATCAGTGCCCATCAGTGCCCATCAGTTTTGCCCTATCAGTGACTCATCAGTGCAATGCCTAACAGTGCCCATCAGTACAGCCTATCAATTGTCCCATCAGTGCCCCATATGTACCTACAGTGCCCATCAGTGTCGCCTATCAGTTCCCATCAGTTCTGCCTATCAGTGACTCCTCATCAGTGCAGCCTATCAGTTCCCAACAGTTCTGCCTATCAGTGACTCCTCATCAGTGCAGCCTATCAGTTCCCATCAGTTCTGCCTATCAGTGACAGCCTATCCGTGCCACCTATCAGTGACTCCTCATCACTGTGCCTCCTCCCATCAGTTCTGCCTATCAGTGACTCCTCATCAGTGCAGCCTATCAGTGCCCATCAGTGAAGGAGAAAAATTACTTATTTACAAACTTTATAATAGAAACTATGAAAAAAATGTTTTTTTCACATTTTTTTGCCTTTTTTTGTTTGTTTAGCAAAAAATAAAAACCCCAGTGGCGATTAATTACCACCAAAAGAAAAATCTATTTGTTTAAAAAAAAAAATGATAAAAAGTGTTGTTTGGGTACGGTGTTGCATGACCGCGCAATTGTCATGCAAAGTATGAGAGCACTGAAAGCTGAAAATTGGTCTGGGCAGGAAGGGGGGGAAAGTGCCCGGTAGGCGAGGGGATAAAGAGTTAATTACTTGATTAACCTAAACCAGTGACAATCGCTCTCAGGCTGCTGGCACCTAGACTGTGGTCCCGCACTGGAAAATCTTTGTGCAGGGTGCAGCTGAGAGTGGCATTGTTGCGTAAGTGCGGTGTGAGATTGGCCAGTCCTTTGTCACAACTTGGTGAGAAGGGCAGGGGCCAGGTACCACGTTTGTCACGTGTGTCATGTGCAAGGTCCGGGGTAACACATGCAAATGTTCTTCAATATTTTCTGATAATATCCTGCATTCAGATTGCTATCAATTTTTCACATGTTCCCTGTGGCGCTGTAGCTCACAAACCCCAAAACAGTAGAGATCCACCACCATGCTTCACAGTAGGGATGGTGGGCTTCTCTTCATGGGCCTTGCCTCCTCCCTAAATCGAACATTTATGGTCGTGATCCGAACGTTTATTTTGGTCTCTCCAAATGATACTGTTCCAAAAGTTTAGGTGCAAAAATAGATCACATTTTACAAAATCTGCCATCGGTAGGTGAACTTATGAACACAACTGTATATATCTGGAACCTGAGCTAGACACATCTACGGTTTCTATGCCTATGGGCACCCAAACCTTTTCTCTGCACCCATTGTTACAAATGCCTCCCTGATGTTAGAATACAAACCTCCATCTTGGATCTAGCCCTGTACAATGGAACTCATGTCCTTCATATGCAGTGCCGAACCTGACCGGCAAACGCTGGAACCGAGCTTGTACATTCTGCTTCCAACTAGCAATGTACAAACATGTTGTGTTGCTTCCTCCTCCTGTCAAGTTTTTTTCTGCACAGATTCTAATAAATGGATATAATAGCTCCTTGCCTTTGGCGATGCACGGCTGGAAAGCGCCAAGTGCCTTGGATTATTTTCTAGGAAGTGACTTCTATTTATGTACAACTGAAAGACAACACTGACAGCATGCTGGCAATCCAAATATCCGACAGCGAGGATCACGCTTTCCACTACAAGCAATGGACGTGTTCTCTATGTCCCAGGCTGATGTGTAATGGTGAATGCAAATATGAGAATTTGAATGGGAAACAGGCTTTCAGGGTCAACAAGAGAGCAGGGGGGGGGGGGGGGGGGCTCTTCCTGGGTATACGGTCTGAGTAGAAAAGCCTGTCCCCTGCCAGCATGCTTGTTCTGTTTGTGGAAGCGGTGGTCTCCCTACATGGAAGCAGTGGTATCTCTGCATAGGTCAGACACACTCCCCAGAGCTAGAGCTCTTCTATAGGGAGGGAGTTTGCTGATTGCAGAGCTACAGGACCAAAGGAGAGAGAACACATCTTCCCAGCTGGGACACACACAGCAATACAAACCTGACCCCTCCCCCACTTTATCCAAAACCAAAAAAATGGCTTTGGATATACTTTAAATATTAGAAGCTTAACTCCCCTCATTATTAAATCCTCCCTTCGGCCTTTCTTTCAGTCTTGCACAGGTGTACCTGCTCCTCCCCTTCAGTCTTGCACAGGTGTACCTGCTCCTCCCCTTCAGTCCTGCACAGGTGTACCGGCTCCTCCCTCCCCTTCAGTCTTGCACAGGTGTACCAGCTCTCTCCCCTTCAGTCTTGCACAGGTGTACCTGCTCCTCCCCTTCAGTCTTGCACAGGTGTACCGGCTCCTCCCCTTCAGTCTTGCACAGGTGTACCGGCTCCTCCCCTTCAGTCTTGCATAGGTGTATTGGCTCCTCCCTTTCAGTCTTGCACAGGTGTACTGGCTCCTCCCCTTCAGTCTTGCACAGGTGTACCGGCTCCTCCCCTTCAGTCTTGCACAGGTGTACCGGCTCCTCCCCTTCAGTCTTGCATAGGTGTATTGGCTCCTCCCCTTCAGTCTTGCACAGGTGTACCGGCTCCTCCCCTTCAGTCTTGCATAGGTGTATTGGCTCCTCCCTTTCAGTCTTGCACAGGTGTACTGGCTCCTCCCCTTCAGTCTTGCACAGGTGTACCGGCTCCTCCCCTTCAGTCTTGCACAGGTGTACTGGCTCCTCCCCTTTAGTCTTGCACAGGTGTACTGGCTCCTTCCCTTCAGTCTTGCACAGGTGTAACGGCTCCTCCCCCTCAGTCTTGCACAGGTGTACCGGCTCCTCCCCTTCAGTCTTGCACAGGTGTACCGGCTCCTCCCCTTCGGTCTTGCACAGGTGTACCGGATCCTCCCCTTCAGTCTTGCACAGGTATACCGGCTCCTCCCCTTCAGTCTTGCATAGGTGTATTGGCTCCTCCCTTTCAGTCTTGCACAGGTGTACTGGCTCCTCCCCTTCAGTCTTGCACAGGTGTATCGGCTCCTCCCCTTCAGTCTTGCATAGGTATACCGGCTCCTCCCCTTCAGTCTTGCACAGGTGTACCCGGCTCCTCCCCTTCAGTCTTGCACAGGTATACCGGCTCCTCCCCTTCAGTCTTGCACAGTTGTACCGGCTCCTCCCCTTCAGTCTTGCACAGGTGTACCGGCTCCACCCTTCAGTCTTGCACAGGTGTACCGGCTCCTCCCCTTCAGTCTTGCACAGGTGTATCGGCTCCTCCCTTTCAGTCTTGCACAGGTGTACTGGCTCCTCCCCTTCAGTCTTGCACAGGTGTACTGGCTCCTCCCCTTCAGTCTTGCACAGGTGTACCGGCTCCTCCCTTTCAGTCTTGCACAGTTGTACCGGCTCCTCCCCTTCAGTCTTGCACAGGTGTACCGGCTCCTCCCCTTCAGTCTTGCACAGGTGTACCGTCTCCTCCCCTTCAGTCTTGCACAGGTGTACCAGCTCCTCCCCTTCAGTCTTGCACAGGTGTACCAGCTCCTCTCCTGTAGCGAAAATATTTCTTTTGATTTCACTGCATGCTATGAGCTTCTCAGCTGCAGCAAGTCAGAGAGAGCTCCGCCATATTTCCTGGCTGAAGGGCATCCATCATCATACTCCCCACCCTGACTGTCCCTGGCCCCGCCCCTTTCATTCATTGGATTTCAGTTCTTTCAATTATGGTGGCTCAGCATCACATGTTACCTATGCAAATACAGCTTGCCTAGGAACGCCCACTCTTTCAGACTGACACCCACCCATCAAAGAATTGCATCAGGACCAATGGCTCTGAGGAGTACAGAGGCAAAGTTCTGTGATGTTTTCAGGAAGCTATGTACAGCATCCTGCTGCCCCCTCCCACCAGCCATGATTTGCCTTCATTGCATAGAGAACCACAAAGAACAGAAGCAGATAAGGGAAAATAAAGACAGATTAAACTTTAAGCTGATGCAGTCCTTGACAACATTAGATGGGTTTTAGCTCCTCATTTAAAAAAAAAAAAAAAGGAACCCTTAGACATGCTGTCACTTTGGACAGTCTCTTCAAATGTGACCTCCTGTCCAGTCTGGCCTCATCCAGCGCCGGTTGGCCGGGCTGAAACAAAGATCCCACAATTGTGGGTGTCCTCCGTGCCTGAGCCCATGTTCTTCTGACGTATATGTGCAGCCATCTTGTAAAGCGGACTGTCTGATCTGATTACACAGCAGGCTCTTCAGCATTATTGGATGATTACTTTGGGGGGGGGGGGGGGGGGGTCCTGGCTGCAGTAAGGATATAATGAAGGAAAATCCAGAGACAATTACTTCCTGCCTTCTCCTAATGTCATATAATGATGGTGGAGATTCACAAACAATTTCTCCAGACTGGGATCTGATGCAGAGTTTGTGTTTCCTCCGGGACGGTGATTTGGCGGTGCAGCCCTCCTCAGAAAGGGGAATCCAACCATAAACTGAAAAAGATCACACAGGGGGTGCGGACGCCTAGCACATTACCCAAGGTTTACTGAGAAGAAAAAAAAGCCAATTTCATACTCACAAAGGAATATCGCTTCTTGGCCTTTTGGCTAAGATCAATTGTAGTTTCTGTTCTTATCAGTGTCCAGTAGGGGCGCTCCGCCGTCATTCTTGCCTTTTGGTGAGGGTGGCTGGCTCTATAGTACCCCTGCTGGTATGACGGGGGTTCTGAAGGTTAATTGCGGCTGGAACAGAAACCGGGGTGCTCACACGCAGTTGAGGCACGGAGTAATTCCTCCGGGAAAACCGAAAGGGCCCAGTTCCTCATAATTTGAATGACCCATTCAAATTATGGGTCTACCTTGTCTGGCTGGGGAGGCAGAGAGTCTGAGGAGCAGTGCCCCCTGGGAGTGGTTGCCCCAAGGGTGCTCTTAGCAACATATGGGAGTGGGATCTCACGTGTGAAAAGTGCACATGGTCACAGCTCTATACACGCTCCACTTCCTTAAACTGAACCTCTCCAAAACAGAGTTTCTTGTCTTCCCCCCAGTCCGGACACCACCCCCCATTGACTTCTCCATCATGTCCAACAACGCCACCATCAAACCCGCCCCGCAGGCCAGAGTACTTGGTGTCATTTTGGACTCCAACCTATCCTTCCAGCCCCAAGTCCAATCTTTAACAAGCTCGTGCAGACTCCGCCTCCGCAACATGCAGACTCCACCTCCGCAACATCGCCAAAATCTGCACGTTCCTAACCCCAGAAACCACTAAACAGCTCATCCACTCCCTCATCATATCACGACTCGACTACTGCAACTCCCTCCTCACTGGCCTGCCTTGCCGCTGGCTATCCCCGCTTCAGTCCATCCTGAATATGGCTGCCAGACTCATTCACCTTTCCAACCGCTTCATCTCCGCCACCCCCCTCTGCCAATCCCTCCACTGGCCTCCACCCCCCTCTGCCAATCCCTCCACTGGCTTCCGATTGCGCAAACGGATCAAATTCAAAATCCTAACACTGACGTACAAAGCTGTCCACCATACTGCCCCGAACTACATCACCGACCTAATACCCAAGTACCACCCAACACGCACACTCCGCTCCTCACAAGACCTGCTTCTCTCTAGTTCCCTGGTCTCCTCCTCCCATGCCCGCCTCCAGGACTTCTCCAGGGTGTCACCCATCCTCTGGAACTCCCTGCCCCAACCCATCAGATTATCACCTACTCTCCTCTCCTTTAGGCGCACCCTGAAAACCCATCTCTTCAGGGAAGCCTACCCCACCCCCTGCTAACTTGCCGACCTCCTCCACTCTTCCTACCACTCCATCCCCCACAGCTATCTCCTCCTGTGCCACCATCCCCTCCCTCCTAGATTGTAAGCTCGAAAGAGCAGGGCCCTCGATCCCCTCATGTTTTGCATTGTATTGGTATTGTTCTGTCACATGTTCTGTTCCCCTTTGTAATGTACAGCGCTGAGCGAACTATTGGCGCTTTATAAATACTGTATAATAATAATAATAATAATCTGCACTGAGCCTTTTAGGGCTAGGCCTTTTGGCTAAGTCCAGGCCACTTTTTGTTGCTACGGGCCACAGGGTCCAGCCAGTGCACTATTGTATGGCCACATATTTATTTTTCCTCCACTGTTTTGTCACCTGTCACTTACATGTATTTTTCTCACTTGGATGGAGGGTGTGGGTCCTCGGGCCTGCCCTCAAGTCTAGGGGGAGGATGTGTGGCCTTTAGGTTCCTTCCTCCCCTGTTCCTGGGAGGAGGTCTCTCTTCGAGAGAGCTCCCTGACCTAGAACTTGGTGGTCGGCTTCGGCTGGGCACAAGGAAAGGGGTCCGCCAAGCCTTTTGGCTAAGTTGACCATGTTGGAAACCCTTTGTCCCTGTCAGGAGCCTCGCACTTCAGGGGAACAGGGTAGAGGTCTTACCCCTTCGGTGGTGGACAAAATCACACCCCTAAGTGCACTTTTGTGTGTTGGTGTTTTGCACTTGCACATTTTTTTGTTCACTTACGGATTTTTCGTTTTTTCACACCTCCGCAGACTTTAAAAAAAAAAAGGACATAAGTAATATGAATGACAATTTATGGTGGTCAGCCAACATGGCAACAGATTCCCAACTATTAATGATGTCGGCAAGTTGACCTGTTTTGGGGACGCATCCCCTTCCTCATACAGCCCAAAATGTGCCAGCTTACCGACATCACCAATTGTTGGGAACCTGTAGCCACGTTGGTTGACCATCAGAAATTGTTGTCATTTTCATTTTACTCCTGTCCTTTGTGAATATGAAATTGGCTTTTTCTTTGTTTCTCTCAGTAAACCTTGGGTAATGCGCTAGGGGTTTGCGCCTCCTGTGTGTTCTTTTTCAGTGAGGGTGGAGATCTCTATACAGAAAGGACTGAAATAGTCCTGTACAAAACTTATCAGCAGACAGGGGCGGACTGACAACTCATGGGGCCCCCAGGCAATAGGGGATCATGGGGCCCCTGTGTCCTTGTCCAAACTCAAAAAAGCCTATGAAAAAGGTACCAGGGGCATCTCATGGGGCCCCCTACTGACCCTGGGCCCTCGGGCAGTGCCCGAGTTTCCAAATGGTCAGTCCGCCCCTGGCTGCGCGCTCCCAGGGAGCGCGCACAAGCAGGGGGCAAGGAGGCCATTTATAAACAGTCACCCGCCCCTGCACTGCCACCGTCCGGCCGTTTATATACAATGGCCAGAAGGGAGGTGGTTAAAAACTCAAGAGTCCACTGCTTTCTGCCTGAGACTGAGAGAGTAGAACAGCAAAGCACAATCACTGTGCAGACCAACTAAGCAGGGATCCAGTCACATCAATTTGGTGACTTGCAAGCTTTTGTCATACAAAGGTGCGCTTTTTGGCGTCTCCCAACGCAGGATGAGAAGGCTATGTAGCAGGATAAGGCTTGGTGTTAAGGCTGGAAAGCCATTAGGAAGTGTCCCCATCGCCCAGACTCGTGTATTAAAGATATATTGTTTTCCATCATTTTTATTTCTAATTCAGTTGCAATGCGCCTTCCAACTTGTATTACTGCTGGTAATAGGGTTGAGTGATACAAAACGTAATAGCTGTAGGGGAAGGAGTTGATGGAAGAAATAAAAGGCAGTTTACCAGCTAGGAGCAGACTTCTTTAAAGAGAAAGGTTTTCAGGGATCGTCTAAAGGTGGATAGATTAGGAGACAGCTGGACAGATTGGGGTAGGGAGTTCCATAGGATGGGAGAAGTCGGCAGAAGAGTGGAGTGAGCATGGGAGGAGGTGACACGGGAACTTGAGAGCAGAAGGTTTTGGGAGGTTCGAAGAGAGCGTTTTGGTTGAGATTTTGAGACCAGGTTGGTGATGTAGCCGGGGGCAGAGTTGTGGATGGCTTTGTAAGTTGTTAGTATTTTAAATTTTATTCATTGTGCGAATGGAAGCCAGTGGAGGGATTGGCAGAGAGAGGTGGAGGACACCGAATGGAGGATATTGGAGGGATTGGCAGAGAGCTGTAGCAGACACTGAATGGAGGTCAATGGAGGCATTGGCAGAGAGGAGTGGAGGACACTGAATGGAGGCAATTGGAGGGATTGGCAGAGAGGG